CCACTCACCTCAGCCTCCCAAAGCACGGGATTACAGGCTGAGCCACCGAGCCCAGCTGAAGTGTTAGAATTTAAAGTTGAAGAAATCTTCTAAAAAGAAGCAAAGGATAAACTGGGCATGGTGACTCATGCCTATAATCTCAACATTTTGGGAGGACATGGTGGGAGGATCACTTGAGCACATGAGTTCAAGAACAGCCTGGGCAACATAGTGAGACCTCATCTCTACAAAAAAATCAAAAAATTAGCCAGGTGTGGTAGTTTGTGTCTGTAGCCTCAGCTACTTGGGAGGCTGAAACGGTAGGATTACCAAGCTCAGGAGGTTGTGGCTGTAGTGAGTTATGACCATGCCACTGCTCTTCAGCCTGGGTGACAAAGTGAGACCCTGACTCAAAAAGAAGAAGAAGAGGAAGAAGAGAAAAAAAGAAGCAGCAGCAGCAGAGGATAAAGAAATATAAATAGCATAATATGTTAAAATAAGATTGTTAATCTAGATAAATGATAATATTTCTAGAAAGAACAAAGGCACAAAAAAGAGGGAAGGAAATTATCAAAAAAATAATTCAAGTAAATTTCTCAGAACTGAGATCTAAGATTCCAAATTGAGATGGACTTCAAATGTCTAGCAAAAGTAATGAAGTCCAAGGCATATCACATGATGATATGCCTTTTAAAATACCAAGGGAAAAGAGAAAAATTCTAAAATTGGGCAAAAGGAAAAAACAGGTCATATAAAAAAGATCAAGACTTAGATGGTACAGGACTTCTCAAGAGTGGCACTGGAAGCTAGAAGATAGCAGAGCATTGCTTTCCAAATTTAGATGTGAGTTTTGCAACTTGGAATTCTATTCTCAGTAAAACTATTACTCAGATGTAGTAATAATAAAAAAGATATTTTCAGAAAAAATTGCAAAATTTTTTCTCCTTGGCTCTTTTCCTCAGGAAGTTCCAACGAAGTGAGGGGTTAGATCAAGAGAGATAAAGATGAGGGATCTCTGACTCAAAAAAAATTTTTTTAAAGCTCTAAATACCTTTTGTCAATTCCTTCCTGTTAAATATAACTAGAGTGTATTATTTCCTGCACTGAACCCTGACTATAACTATTTCCTGTACTGAACTCTGACTAAAATAACTTGTTATTAAGATATAGGAAGGCCAGGCACGGTGGCTCATACCTGTAATTCCAGAACTTTGGGAGGCAAAGGTGAGCGGATTGTTTGAGCCCAGGAGTTTGAGACCACCTTGGGCAACATAGCAAGATCTCATCTCTAGAAAAAATCAAAAAAGTTAGCTGGACATGGTGGCAATACCTGTAGTCTCAGCTACTTGGGAAGCTGACACAGGAGGATCGGTTGAACCCAGGAGTTGGAGGCTGTGATGAGCTGTATTGTGCTACTGCATCCCAACCTGGGCAACAGTGAAATTCTGACCAAAAAAAAAAATATAGGAAGATAAAACCAATTGAACATTGAAATGTTTGCTTCTGGGAAAAGATAATTAAGGTTTTGTACAGAGACCATAGTTTTTTTGCTGTTTTGTAGAATAACTATTTGACTTCTAAAATTATATACATGTATAAATTTGGTAAAAATTAAAAACAGTTAAATAAAAACTCATTTAGGAAGAAACATGCATTAGAACACTAAGACAGTTGGGCTCAGTGGCTCATGCATTTGGGAGGCAGAGGCAAGAGGATTGCCTGAGCCCAGGGGTTCGAGACCAGCCTGTACAACTTGGTGAGACTTTGTCGCTACAATAAATAAAAAAATTAGCTGGGCATGGTGGTACTACAGTTCCAGCTACTTGGAAGGCTGAGATGGAAGGTTCGCCTGAGCCCAGCAGGTCAAGACTGCGGTGGCCGTGAGCGTGCCACTGCACTCCAGCCTGGGAGACAAAGTGAGACTCTGATTCAGAAAAACAAAATAAAGATTTGGTACTTTTAAGCGTCCAGAAATCAGCTGGGCTCGGTGGCTCATGCCTATAATCCCAGCACTTCGGGAGGCTGAGGTGAGAGGATTGCCTGAGCCCCTCGTTCGAGAAGAATCTACAATAAATTAAAAAATTAGCCGGGCGTGGTAGTGCACGCCTATAGTTCCAGCTACTTGGAAGGCTGAGGCTGAAGGATTGCTGGAGCCCAGCAGGTCAAGGCTGTGGTGGCCAGGAGCGTGCCACTGCACTCCAGTCTGGGAGAAAGAGTGAGACTCAACTCAAAAACAAACAAACAAAAAAGGCTCCAGAAATCTTTTTCTATTTCTCATGACTAACAAAATAGACTCATCGTTTTAAAAAAGCTTCCCTTTAAAGAGGGAGTGCTTTGAGCTTATCTGAGCCAAATTTTTTTTTTTTTCCTCAGCAGGGAGAGAGACAAAAGGCCAGTAAGGCTGGTAACTGGAGACATGATTTAGATAGCTTTTAATGAGAGTCATTTCTCACATAAATGAATCAGGTTTAATGGAATCAGATTTAGGCAACAGAAAGCATCATTAAAATAGAGAAAACAGGCCGAATGCGGTGGCTCGCGCCTATAATCCCAGCACTTTGGGAGACTGAGGTGAGAGAATTGCCTGAGCCCATGGGTTAGAGATCAGCATGGGCACCTTGGTGAGACCTCATCTCTAAAATAAATCAAAAAATTAACCAGGCATGGTGGCGCATGCCTGTGATTCTAGCTACTTGGAAGACTGGGGCAGAAGTCTTGCCTGAGCCCAGCAGGTCCAGACTGAAATCCAGGCTATGCTAATACTAATGGTAAAACTTTTTGACCTTAATGGGAGAAAATATGAGAGGCGATGAGTCTGACTTTTGGGTCTCCTAAATTATTCAGGTCAAATGTTTTGAGTCAGGGAGTCCAAGGTGGGAGGGAATGAAAGATTGCTCTTAAAGAATGCTATAGCACCATCCAAGGGTAAGAGTGCACAACTCCGTTGCTTAGGATGATGCTATTATGAGGCTAGAGTGATACTAACATCATCACGCCAGTGCTTCCAGTCATCTAATAAGTTAAGAAAACAAGAGACAATTCAAAAAATAAAATCTAAAGAGTTCAAATTAGTGAAAAAAATACATAAACATGAAAACAGCACAAAAGTCTATTCTTCAGCAATAAAAAGAAATTATCTTCTGATACACATGGTACAATATGGATGAACCTTGAAAAAAAATGTCCTAGATAAAATAAGTCAGATACAAAAGGACAAATACTGTATGATCCTACTTACATTAAATATATATATTTTTTGAGTTGGAGTCTCACTTTGTCGCCCAGACTAGAGTGCAGTGGCCGCTCCCAGCCACCGCAACCTCTACCTGCTGGGCTCCAGCGATCCTTCCGCCTCAGCCTTCCAAGTAGCTGGAACTACAGGCGCGTGCTACCACACCCGGCTAATTTTTTGATTTATTGTAGAGATGAGGTCTCACCAAGTTGCCCAGGTGGGTCTCGAAAGCGCAGGCTCAGGCAATCCACTCACCTCAGCCTCCCAAGGCACGGGATTACAGGCTGAGTCACCGAGCCTGGCTACATTAAATATTTTAAAAGGACATCATAGAGGCAGATGTAGACAAGAGGGGCTGAGGGAAGAAAGAATGGAGAGTTATTGCTTAATGGGTACAGAGTTTCTGCTTGGAGTGATGGGAAATTTTGGAAATAGATAGTAGTAATGGTTGCACAACACTGTGAAATGTTATTAATGCCACTGAATTATACATTTAAAATTGCTAATAGGGAAATTTTGCATTATATATATTTTACCACAGTAAAATAAATTTTAATGAAATTGACTTCAAACAGTATAAAAAGTTGAGAAGAGAAAACCATATATGATATAAACTTGAAAGAATGGTATAAAAATAAAGAAGCAAAACACAAGAGCCAAAAGAAAACCATGGTATTGAAACTAGTGAATGGAAATAAAGTGACAAAATAATGAAACAATCTAAATAATACAAATGAATATAAGACCCCAGGGAGAGGGAGAAAGTGTTTGATATTTTAAGTTAAAATTGACCCTTGTTCAACATTGTGAGTTCATCTGGGGAAATATGAGGTTCTTTGCAAAGTCCAATCCAACCCAAAGCATTTGTCTCTGCAAGGGCAGTGAAAGGTCCTAAGGAGGAGCCCCAGGCAACCTGGAGAAAGGCCTGACGGCTTGTCACCTTTCCAGCAAACCCTCTTGAAAAGCTGCCACCAAGAAGATTAAGTCCCAGGATGCGGCAGCATCAACCAGAACACTGCAAGTGCTGAGACTGGAAAGAAAGGGAGAATAAGGAGGTGAGCAAAAGAGAAAGAAGTGGCGACCTGGTAAAGAGGAGGGACAGTAGGAAAAAGACCTGACAAAAGACAGGGAGCCGGCGCTGGTGAGAGAAACTGCTAAGCCCAGTTGTCTGTGCCGGCCCCAGTCGTTGGTCGGCTGCCAAGGCTTCCCCTGATTGAGAGGCAGGCTCAGACCCAAATGCCTTACCTGGAGATGGAAAGAACAAAACTCAAGTCAAAGCGGCCGCTGGAGCTGCTTCTTGGGCTTTGGTGACAAGTTCTTTTAGGGAAGACGTTCGGGAGGCAGCTGGGGGACTCGGGATGTCTGAAGCCAGGAGACTGCTCTGTGCCTGTCTGTGCTCGACCTCTGTTCCCTAAGGGTAATTTTTACAATTGTGTGTCGGTGGAAGCTCCTGGCCTGGGAAGGGACCCGAGTGCCCAAGCCCTCGAGGCTCAGGTTGGCCCCCGGCCCCCAACCCCACTGAGTGGGAGACAGTACAACGGGATGGGAGGAGGAGGATTGGGAGGAGGACGGACAGGGGTGAGTCTGGCCTGA